TTGGTGACTGGCGCTCATTTTTCCTTGAAGGAACTGCAACATCAAATGTGCGGTGTGCTCCCTGTGACCCAGGGACATTCTCTGACACAACATCATCCACAGATACTTGCAGGCCCCACCAGCGGTGAGTGGCTGAGTCCTTTGGGTGAGGTGAGGTGAGGAGCAGGGAGTGGCTGTCCTGGGTGATGGTGGGGTCTAGAGCATAGAGCGGCTGTGCCATGGTGCCTGAAATCCCCCCATTCCCTCCCTTGGGTTGTGGCATTGCCAAGCCCTGTTCAGTGCCAGGATGGGTTGATCTGACAGTGGGTTGGGCCCAGGACAGAGAGCATGGTAAACAGTAGCCTTTCCCTGGAAGTCAAGACTGAGTGGGGAGCATGGGGAGAGGTGAGGTGAGGACAGCAAGGGGCAGCACTGAAAGAGGACATGGCACGTGTACTCACTTCCACGTCCTGGCTGCTGGGACCTTTGCCCGCTGGCCTGGACCCCACAAGTGAGCCCAGCCACCCTGAGCCATTCTGTCCTCTTTTGACCTCTGACCAAGCCCCCTCTTCCACCAGCTGTAGCTCGGTGGCCATCCCTGGCAATGCAAGCATGGATGCGGTCTGCACATCTGTGCTCCCCACCGTGAGAGTGGCCCCAAACTTAGACCTCGTGCCCCAGCTACTGTCCACGAGATCCCAACACGTGGAGCCAACTCCAGGACCTAGCACAGCATCAAGTACCTCTGTCCTGCTCCCAATGGTCCCAAGTCCCCCGACTGAAGGGGTCGGCACAGGGAACATTTCTCTTCCAATTGGTAAGTCACAAGAGGGCCCGTTCACCCTCCCTCCCTCGAACCCTCCCTCCCTTCTCATCTCTAAGACTTACTGAGAGCCCTCTGTGGGCTGGATGGACTGTCTTGGGATGCAGGTGGCAGTGAGACTAGAATCTCCCAAGACCTGGTGGGGAGAACCCCTGGGTGGGGAGGTGTGGGGTCAGCATTTATCTCAAAGTGGAGGTGGTCTCCTGGTTGCCGGTTCTGATGAACCCATTAGGCTGTGAAGACAGTGGCCTGGGCCAGGTCCTCTCCTGGGCTTCCCGTCTGGGGTTTGGACTACATCAGGCCAAAGGTCTCAAACTGTGGCCCTTGGGCTGAATATGGCCCACAGACATGTTTTGTTTGGCACAGTTTTGGGTCTGTTTTTTTGGTAATTGAATTTGAGACATCTGTATTGGGCTTGCCCTTCACCTATGACCCCCCCCCACCCCCCCAGCCATCTTTGGTCACTGAGTAATCTGCTGAGTCCCTGGTACATTTGAGTTTGCTATTTGCAGCTGTTTTGAGCTTCACTTTTTTTTCTAGGACTGATTGTGGGTTTGACAGCCTTGGGACTGCTAATAATAGGGCTGGCGAACTGTCTCATCATAACCCAGAAGAAAAGTAAGATTCCATTCCTTCTTTCCTTCATCCATCCATTCATTCATCCGCTTGTTCAGGAAGCTTTGCTGGGGTGCCTCCTGTGAGCTCAGCACTGGGCACGGCCTTATGGGTCAGACAAAGCCAGATATGATAGTCTCTGTTCTGTAGGACCTTAAAGCCTGGGGCAGAAGGCACTTCCACTAACTTATCTACTGAAAGGCAAGACACCATCAGGGCTATTCAAGGGGGTAGGAGTCCAGGATTCTTGTCTGGGAATCCTGGGGTATTTGGGCATTCTGGAGCAGGTGACATGTGAGCTGGGTAAAAAAAAAAAAAAATGTGTGCAGGAAGGAAAGGGCACGCTAAGCAGCGGGCATGGCATGAGTAAAGAAGGGGAGGCTGGAAAGTGGTTGGGGGTGGTGGAGGGGAGTGGCACAATGTCAGGCTAGCTGGAGGGTTGGGTGTGGGGTCTTTGTGTACCTCGTGTGGTAGGTAATCGCTCCCTCCAGGGCTGGGCCTATTCCCGCCGCTTGGGCCCCATCCTAGTTAGGACAGATGTGGCCTGTGGAAGTCACTCTCCCTGACTTGTCCCCTCTCTCCTCTTTGCAGAGAAGCCCCTTTGCATGCAAGGAGAAGTGAAGGTGGTGAGTGCCCTTCTGCCTTCCTCCCCCCCCTCCCCTGCTCTCCTCCCCGGCGGGCCGGATTGTCCCACCGGAAGCAGCACATTCTATAAGTTGGCCTGCCCAGTGTCCGGTGGTGGTGAGGCTGAGCCCCGGGAGGCTGAGGAAAGGCCAGCCAGCATCCGTCCTTGGGGGTAGGCAGCCCACCATGGGCTAATAAAGGAGGCTGAATGTGAAATGCCACATCAGGCAGCAGGGGGGTTAGTGGTATCAGTGGCAAGCATGTGGTCTTGGACTGGTGGTGTGACCTTGGGGCAGACGTGAAACTGCTTGTGGCTGTGTTTCCTCACCATTAAATGGAGACAGTACTGCTCAGCCCAGCTTGCATGGTTGTGGCATCCACTCAGCTGGCAACAGTTCTCAGCATCTCTGTGGTGCTTACAAGGCACTTGCTCATGGAGCAGTGGTTTTCAAACTGAGTGATGGGGTACCCCGGTGTTCCACAGAGGCCCTTAGGGGTCATCTCTGGGGTTGAGGTGGAGGCTAGGGGGCTGGGTCCTGGGTCCCCACCTTTGATTTTTTTAAAAAAGATTTTATTGGGGAATTGGGGAAGGGGAACAGTGTTGGGGAATCAGGGAAGGGGAACAGCCAAGTTGTTGTCCTTCGATCTTAATTGTGAAGGGCGCAGCTAGCTCAGCTCCAAGTCCAGTCGCCATCCGGCCGCCCGTCAACAGCTTGCGGCCGCTCAGTTTAAGGTGCCGTGTTCAATCTTAGTTGCGAGTGGGCATAGCCCACCAGCCCATGCGGGAGTTGAACCGGCAACCTTGCTGTTAGGAGCACGTGCTCTCACCAGCTGAGCCATTCTGCCACCTGTTGGCAGCTCAGCTCGGGTGCAGCTCACTGGCCCATGTGGGAATCGAACTGGCCACCCTGTTGCTCAGAGCTGGTGCTCTTAACCAACTGAGACACTCGGCCGGCCCCATTTGATCTTTTTTTAATAGAGTCTGTGAAGGACTTTTGTTAGACATGCAATACTTACATAGTATTTCATCAATCCTCCATTAGGAAGACCTTTGGCTGTAAGTAACCAAAAGCTTAACGATGATTTAAAATAAAAGGGCTTTATTTTTCTTACATACCAAGAGGTCAAGGGGTTGATGGCTGCTATTGGGTTGTCGGAAAAGTCATGACGCATTTTTGCCACGAAAAGCAGAAAAATACGTCATGACTTTTCTGACAACCCAATAGAATAGTTCAGTTGCAACCTTCTGAGAGGACAGTAGGACCCCAGGCTCTGCCATGTTTAGTGTGTTGGCTTTTGTTCTCATGCTTGTGGCTTCATGTCATAGGAGGGTGATCACCACTTCATATGTGACCTCAGATTTGAGGTGGGAAGAAGAGGGGGAAACGGCCATCGTGCCTTTTATCAGGAAATCGGATGCTCTCCCAGAAGTCCCCGGTAGACTTTTCCTTTTGTCTTATTGGCCTGAATGGTGTCATGTGACGACCCCTAGCTGCAAGGGCAGCTGGGAAAGGGGGCACTTTGCTTTCCCAGCCTCTGTAGTGGAGGAGGACAAGGGAGAGGGTGTGGGGTAAGCCAGTACATGGTGACTTATTGTAATCCTGTATCTGGTAGGCAGGGTAAGGCTTTTACTCAATTTTACAGATCAGGAAACAGAGCCCAAGGAACTCCCTCCATATCCCCCATCTTGCCGGGGCAGGGTTTTTCAGCCAAGGTACTATTGATATTTGGGGCCTGATAATTCTGTTTTGGGGGTCTGTCCTGTGCATTGTAGGCTGTTCAGCAATATCGCCGGCCTCTCCTCACTAGATGCCAGTCACCCTGCCTCTCAGGAGTGACAACCAAAAATGTCTCCAGACATTGCCAGATGCCGCCTGCAGATCAGAATCACCCCTAGTTGGGAACCACTGTGCGAGGGAAAAGCTCAGCCCTGAGCCACCCGGTGCCTGAGGTTTACACGGGGCTTTGGACTTGGTAGGGACCAGGGACTGAGTTCAGGTCCTGATTTTTCTGCTAAGCAAAGAGGGGCAGAGAGGGAAAGTAACTTGCCCAAGGTCACACAGCACTATGTCTCTGGACTCCTGGCCCAGTGCTCAGGACCTGCCCTACAGCATTTTAGCAGACACGAACATTGATTTGGGAGTTCAAGCTTTCTCCTTTTCCCAGGGCGCGAATGCCACGCCTTCCTTTTTCTGTCTTCAGCTCATTGATGCCGACAGCTGCTGCCTGGTGCACAGAGAGCAAGTGTGCCCTCCAGGCTCCACCCCCGCAGCCCAGCTGCCACGTTGTCTTTCCCACCAGTGTTTCCCAATACTCAGTGCAGTAAAGATGCCCCAGGTGTGGCCCAGAAGCCTCTACTTCCCCATTCCCATCACTGACTTTTCTGTTCACCGAGTGTGAGCAACTCACCTACTACTTGTTGAGGGTTGTTGTGTGTAGAGGTCAGTGGTGTGCTGGTAACTGGCCCTCTGGGCAGGAAAAAAGAAAACCCCAAGCCCTGATTTGTCGTGGTAGCTCAGTTCTGTGTTATAAACACTCCCACTGTGGTCAATTTTAATCTACCCAGACCTTACCGCGTGTGGGGCTGGGAAGAAGCACACACAGGTCTGAGCTGGTCCCGCATACCACTGGCCGAGTCCCGTGCCGGGCTCTGTGCCTGTGCCGTGGCCCTGCATCCTCACACACCCCTATGGGGTACACCCCCATTGTACAGATGAGGAAACAGACTCAGGGAGGTTCTGTTACCTGTATAAGACCAGGAGAGAAATGGCAGAGCCCAGGTTTGAAACTCAATCTGAATCCACAGGCTTTGCAGGCCAGAGATTCAAGGCTGCTCCAAGCACCCCAGACCCTTCTCAGGGCCTGCCCTCAGAGGTTGCTCACCTTCCCAGGTGCCCTTCAGTCCCCGGGCTCCCACCCCCACCCCCACCGCCTCCTTGCTTAGCCTGTGCCGCACTCTGGTTCTCCGCTGTCCCTGCTACGAGGCCGCCTAGTAATGCCAGGCCTAGGTCCTGGGCTGGAGAGTGCGTGACTCAACTCTACCCCATCCCTCCTGATGCAGAATTAACCCCAAAGTGCGGTGGGACAGTGGCTTCCCTTTGTTTAGAAAAGGTCAGCGTATCCACATGTGTGAGCTCACCCACAGCCGCCCCCACAGACAGTCGTGCACGGGCTCACATTTAATAATGACAGTGGACATTTATGAGGTGCTGTGCCAGGAACGAATGTGTGCCAGGTACAATCCTGAGCATTATTTATTCTCACAATCACGCTATGACACAGGCAGTGTGAGTGTTGCTCCAGTGGTATGGCTCAGGACACTTGGGCTCAGAGAAGTTAAACAACTTTCCCAAGGTCACACAGCTAATGAGAGTGGCCTGGGACACAAACCTAGGAGTGCCTGTCTTCAGCACACGCACTCACTACACGTCTCACAGATGTGCACACATCCCCGCCACATAGACACACGTGTGTGGACACTGCACACACCCTCACACCTGTACATGGAGGTGTGTGAGCCTCGTGAACGTGCACTCACACATGCAGGTGGACACAGACCCTGTGGGAATCCGGAGAACTCAGCCAGTGGCTCTGCCTCTGCCCATGGCAGGGCTGGGCCGTGAGGGGCTGGAAGGTGACAGGGACTGGCTGCCTGGCTGAGATCTTGTTTTTTAGCATGGACCCCCCCTCAGTACCCAGTACTTCCTCTTACTGGGGTACCAGCCCAAGGAACGGGACTCGGTGCATCTGCGCCGCTCAGAGCCTGCCTGAACTTTATAACTTGTTGCTTTGCGGGGAGGGAGGCGGCTGTGACCTTTGGGAGTTTCTGTTCTGCCTGGCCCTGGCCACCAGAGGAGCGGGACACAGGCCCCAAAAGCCCCTTCTTGTGTGGGTTGTGAGGAATGACTTTTGGGTGCTCCCCTTCTCCCTCGCTCCCCCGCCCGTCAAAGCTCACAGCCTGGCTAGGAGTGGTGTCCAGTGGCCAAGGTCAGACCACCTGGGCAAGGTTCAACGTGAACTTGAAATGCCTTCCATCCCTCCAAAGCTGGGGGTGGTGAACCAGGGAGGCAGGATGCAGTGGCGAGCCAGCGGCCCTGGTACACTGATGTGGGCTAGTCCTGCCCCAGCCATGGACCAGCTGTGTGATACTGAGTGGGGACTCACCCTCTCTGGGCCTCCATGGCCTCACGGGGACTGCTTGCAAAGGATCCTTCCAGCCCAGATTAAGAGGCGATGGTCTGGCCTCAGGATATTGAAGGTTCCCTCTGGTGGGCTCAGATGTTTGAGAAGTCATAGCCCTGGTGGGTGGGTCTGGGGGCCGCCGAGGCTGTGGGAATTGGCCAGTCCAGGCAGGAATCAGGTACTCTGCCGCTGCTCAGAGCACACCTGGAATTGTAGCTCCTTCTGGAGTGAGGCCATCGGGTCTCAGTCTTCCCTGGGGAGGGGTCTAATGTGCCCCCATCCCATAGCAAACCCCACCCTCTGACCCTCACCTCCCCCTAATGTGCTAAGATGTGTCTCACCAGCAGTTCACTTTGCCTCAGTTGTCATTCTACCCTGGGCCCTCTCATCCTGGGCAGTGGTGGGGAACGTGGTCCCTTCTGTCCCCTTTCTTTCTGGGATCCAAAGATCAATCGAAACCCCAAGGAAAGGGCTGGTGTGCCTGTTTAGTTAGTGTAGGCAGGCGACACCCTCAGAGTGGGATTTCTAGGTGCTCCCCAGCATGGGTGTCTGGAAACGGGTACCTATCTTGAGCCTCCTTGAAACTCCAGACACCCAGGAAAGGCATCATGGGTTACAGCCCAGCTGTACCATGTCCTAGCTGTGTGACCTTGGCCAAGTAAGTCAACCTCTCTGGGCCTCGGTTTCCATATCTGCAAAGTGAGGGCAACACTGGGCTGTTGGAAGTCAATATAGATAGTGCCTTGGAAGAACGTCAGCACAGCATTTGGCATCGGATAGCACTCGAATGTCAGCTAATATTTTAGTATGATGATTGTTGTTGTTATTATTTATGTTCTATGAGAAAAAGACATTAGGAGAAGTCAGAGAGCAGCCTGAAGAGTGGCATCTGGAGAGGGTTGCTGCGGCAGCATGGCCGAGGGTCCTAACAAAAAGGGCTCTCTGCACTGGATTGATTGATCGAACGCAAAGACTAGCAAACTTTTTCTGCAAAGGGCCAGGCAGTCAATACTGCCGGCTTTTGGATCATAGGTCTCTGTCATAGCTACTCAAACCTGCCATTGTGGTGGGGAAAAGCAGCCCAGACAGTATGCAAACAGATGGGAGTGGCTAGATTCCAATAAAACTGTAATACATAAACATTACATTTTGAATTTCACGTGGCGTGAAATATTAGCCTTTACATTTTTTTTTCAACCGTTTAAAAAATGTACAAACTATTCTTAGCTCACAGCCTGTCCAAAAACAGGGGCAGGACAGACTGGGACCGCGGTAGTAGTTTGTCTACTCCTTGGATGGAGGTTACTATTAACAAGCATTGTTCTGAGCACTTTACAAATATTCAGCCATTTGATCTTCACAAGAAGTAGGTTTGTGAGTCTTCCTTTACAGATGAGAAACATGGAGGCACAGAGAGGTTAAGTAATTTGTCTAAGGTCACACAGCTAGTGAGTGGTGGAATCATGATTTGCTCCAGAGTCCATGGTCTTGGCTGCTAGGCGGGGCCACATCACCCTGTGCTGGTGGGGTGACCTTAGGAGAGTCACTCTCCTTCTCTGGGCCTCTATTTCCTTATGCAAAAAGAGGATGAAAATCCTGCCCTACCTCTAAGACTGTTTGGTAAACAGGGCTACCTGAACCCGTCCTGCAAAGGGCTCACACTCCAGTAGGGCAGCCAGATGCTAACCACAGAAACCACATGTCCTGAAAGCACTGTGAGTGGAAAGAACGTGTGGGTGTGGGCAGAAATGCCATGTAAACTGTGAAGTGCTCATGGCAGGGGGTGCAGATGGTGGTGAGAGGAGAAAGGAAGAGGAACTGGCTGATGGCACGACCACTGTCCCTCCTCTCTTCCCCATCCAGTCTCACCTGCCTGCTGATACGGCCCGGGGTGCTCCGGGCTCCGAGCAGCAGCACCTGCTGACCACGGCGCCAAGCTCCAGCAGCAGCTCCCTGGAGAGCTCAGCCAGCACTGAAAACAAGAGGGCGCCCAGCAGGGACCAGCCGCAGGCACCAGGCACAGGGAAGGCCAGTGGGTCTGGGGAGGCCCAGGCAAGCTCCAGGAGCCCAGGTAAGAGGCGGCTTCACCTGGCTTCATCTCCCCTTCGTGTTTCTTCCGGATTTCTGTCTGAGCCATCTCCTCCTGGGCCTCCCCTGCAGGCTGAGGCCTGAGGTCCTTCCAGGGCCTTCGAAGCCCTGCATGACTGGCCTTGACTCGCCCTCCAGCCTTGCCTCCCTGCTGTCCTCAGGTGCAACACTGAGCCTCAAGCTTCTTTCAGTTCCCTGAACCCACCACGTCCCTTCCACCTTTGCCTGTGTGGGGTCTTTCCCCAGCAATACCCCCTTCCTTCGAGTTAATCCCATCTTGTCCTTCGAGTCCCCAATATCTAGGCAAGGAGTTTTCCTGTATATTATAATACATATCATAATAGTATTACATATTAATGTTATAGTATTATATAATTATTGTATAATATTGTATTATAATTATATAATATTTATGTATATTTATAATATAATATTATTATAATAATATTGATTATATTTTACAGATGAGGACACTGAGGCCCAGAGAGGTTAAACAGTTTGTTTAAGGGCACATAGTTAGTAATTGAAGAGCCAGAAGTTGCCCCTGGGCCCCACGGTGGCTTATTGCCCGGCCCCTTTGGGCCCGAGGCCCCAGGGACCTCAGGGCGTAGGGTCTGGTGAAGCCCTTGCTGCCTTTACGCATCTGCATTTTGTCCTGGATGGATGGTGACAGGTGTCACCCTGGTTGGCATCTCCAGTGCCCACACAGGCGGGGGCCCCTGCAGGGGTCCCTCAGAAAGCCTGGAGGTCAAGTCGGCTTACTGGCATCTCTCCCTCTCGAGTGGCAGTGCTGGCTGGTTGGAGGTCAAGGAAGGACCATGCACTTGGGCCATTCTTAGATGCGCTCCTAGCTGCTCTGATTCTGAGAGAACCTGAGCTGGTTCCTTAGCCCTGCCGAGCCTCAGTTTCCTTACTTGGAGATGCTGTCTCCTTGGCAGGGCTGCAGCACCCTTTCCTGCCTGTCACCTGACTCCGGGGTTGCTTCCTCCCCTGGCTACCCATGTGGTCGAGGTGCCCCACTTATGTTTCCCCATCATGGCCCTCCGCCCTCTTCAGTGTGATGTCTTGTCAGTTCCCCCACCTCAGCCAGAGAACTCCCCGAGGGACAGGTTGAGTCAGTGCCTGAAGTGTCTGTCGAATGAATGAATGAGCTCCAAATATGAACTCTTGGTGTTTGTCCAACTTATGGATTCATCTTTTCGATTCTTATCGACGCATCTTCCACAGCTGTTCTGGTGTGGTTTTCTTTTTGGCCTTGGCAGGGCCTCCTGACCATGCCTGCCCACCCCTCTACCTCTGCCCCTTCCCTATCCATACCCCACTTGCCTCTCTGCCTTCTGCGCTCCCCTTTTCTCCCTCCCACCCCAACACCTCTCTCCACTGTGGGAACAGGTAAACCCCATGCTGTGCCCCGTTGTGGTCCCCCTGTCCACCCCCGCAATGTCTCATTCACAATGTGCAAAGGCCATGGTGACTCTGGGTGACATTTGGGCGCCGTGGTGGCTCAGGGTGGAAGTTTCCTTCCGGCCCCATGGTTTAAGCCCTCCCTCCGCCTGGCCTGTTTGGGGCTGTTCTGAGTAGAGCAGTTCGCTGCTTCAACCTCCTCTCAGTCCCCCTGGAATCGGGGCAGCAGGGCTGAGGAGAGGACTGGAAAATAAACAGCCACATCCGTTTGGGCACTCGTAAGTCCCCACAGTATCAGCAGCAGCAGCTATCACTTTTTGGGGGGCTTTTGTGCACCCAGCCCCTTACATTCACCTCCTGGCTTATCCGTCATTTGGTGCCTCACCAACTAGTTAAGAAACTAGTTGCAGAAACTCAGAGCAGCAGGAAATGGGGTGGCAGAAGGCAGGCAGCAGGTCCTGCAGGGCCTCATAGGCCGTGGTGAGGACTGTGGTGATTTGAATAGCCTCGGAAGTGATCTGCCAAGTTTTAAAGGGCTGGCTCTGGCTGCTGGTGGAGAACAGACAGCAAGAGGGGTGGAATAGAAGCCAGGAGACAGGTGGAGGCTGTTCACACTGGTCCAGGTCGCGGTGGATGGAGCTTTGCATGGGAGATAGCAGGCGGCAGTGAACTCGAAGTATCTTTTAAAGGTGGATCAGGCAAAGATTATTGATGGATTGGATGTGGGGTGTGAGAGTTCAAAGTTTTGGGTGGGCCTGACAGCTGGGTGGATGGTGGCAATGTGAGCTGAAATAAGGAGCAGGTTGGGTGGGAGATGGGGGTGGAATCAGGTTGAGGTGCAGAACAGGTGGATGGATATACAGGGCCGTTGTTCAACCCCGGCTTCATTGAGAATGTCACTCGGTCTCCAGGAGCCACGCAGGCTCTGGAGATATGGCAATGGGCAAGACAATCGCCCTTGCCTGCAAGAGATGGTCAGGGTCATTATACCCATTTTATAGCTGAACAGACGGAAGCTCCAATAGGTTAAGTGACTTGACCAAGTTCACTGGGGCGGAGCCGGGCTTCAAACCCAGGATTGTCAGGCTGCAGAGCTCCAGACATCCCAGGCTCAGTGATGAGGACAAACTACCTCCCCTCCCCATGCTGGAACCTCAGATTTATGAAATCTTAGAGGCAGCATTACACAAAGGAAAAAGATTTGCTGTAAATGAAGACAAGTTCAGGGTCAATGCTTAATCTCCATAAAGGAGCAATTCCAAGCCCTTTGATGTTGATTGATTCTTTGGCAGATACAGGTAGTGGGCCAGTGACAGGGCTCTCAGCTTTTCACAGTTGGTGTGGCCAGGACTGCTGATGGTTTCCAGCAGTTATGGGAAAGTGACTCATTTTCTTTGCTTGACCAGTATTCTGTAACGTGTACTTCCTGTCCCTGCTCACTTCTCTGATTCTCTGTGGGGAGTATGTTTGTACGGTTTGTTCTTGGAACACCTTCGCCTGCTTGATGTTATTGGTCCCTCCTATCTATGGGCTGAGCTGGGCTGGGATTCTTACTTGGCAGATAAAGAAACTGAGGCACACAAAGATTAAGCGACTTGCCCAAAGTCACCTAGCAGAGCTGGGCTGGAGCCGGGACCTCTTGACTCTTGGCTCTATGCTCTTTCCCACATGTTTTAACCTACCTTTTGGGGCAGGAGATGGGCTGTGAAGACCTCCCCACTCCAGGACCCCTGACTGACCGCCCTCTCTCATCTTGTGCAGAGTCTCCTCCTGGCGGCCAAAGGACCCAGGTCAACGTCACCTGCATCGTGAATGTTTGCAGCATCTCCGACCATGGCTCTCAGTGCCCCTCCCAGGCCAGCTCCATGATGGGGGACACAGATGCCAGCTCCTCAGGCTCCCTGAAGGATGAACAGGTCCCTTTCTCCAAGGAGGAGTGCCCTTTCTGGTCCCAGCCAGGGGCCCCAGAGACTCTGCTGCAGAGCCCAGAGGACAAGCCCCTGCCCCTCGGAGTACCCGATGCCGGGATGAAGTCCAGTTAACCAGGCTGGCGTGGGCCGCATCACAGCCGAGGTGGGCTGACCCTTGGGCCTTCTTGGCCCCTAGCGCCCAGCACTCTGGTTCTTTCTGGGCCAAATTCCTTTCGTGGCCTCCACAGCCTCAGTCTCCCTCTTACCTACAGGCAAAAAGACAATGCAGGGAGAGTCATGGAGACCCTCTCCCGTCACCGTGTGCGTCCTTCTCGCAAGGCTGGCTGGATGTGCTGGGCAGCCTGGGGCCGGCCCCTGCCTCTCCAAATTGCACCCCCAGCTGGTCCTATGAACTTGGCTTCTGAAGCCCTTGTTGTTTTGATCCCTGGGCTCTACCGGCTCTGGCTTCCTGGGAACCCCCAGCATCCTGCATTCCAGAGGGGCTGCTGGGGAAGAGGGACACTGTGTGAGTCATCCACGGAGAAGAGGCAGTGGAGAAAGGGCTGTGCTTTAGCCTGAAAGCTGAGACTGCAGGACGGTTTCAGTGAGGGTCTGGGGCTGTCCAAGGTCAGTCAGATGGCTCTGTGCAGGGAGGAGGTGACAACCCCTATAGGGGGTGGCGGTCCCCCGGGTTAGCTAAGGATCCTTGGAAAGCACCACCTCCAAGTCCATTCTTGCTAGCGCCACCTCTGGTACAAGGGTGTGGAAATCGGACACCCAGAGGGCCCAGGCAGCCAACCTGAAGGAGTGCCCTGGCTTGGGCACGATGGCAAACCTCTAACAGGAAATCTTTTAATTTTAATATGTGACAATAAAAAAATAAATAAATAAAAAGTAAGCACCATAGAAGCAAACAAGCCAAGCACCACGGACGCAAACAAGCCAACAACACAACAAATCAAAGTCAGCTTGCCTCCTCTGCCTTGGACCTTCACTCCAGTTTACTCACAGCCCCAGGCCCCCACCCTCTCCCTCCCGGGCGTGGGGCTCCAAGGCCACACCTTTTCCTATCAGGGAATTTCAGGAACTGGAGATGACCGAGGCCCTGCAGCCATCTCTCTCCTCCTACCTCAGCCTGCACCTTCCTCCTTTGCCTCTCGAGGGGGTGTTCCTGTTTCCCCCTGAACCCCCTCCTGCTGTTCCTGGAGTCCCAGGCCCCAGGGGAGCTGTGGGGACACATTGGTACTGTGCCTGTCGCGATCCCAAGTGGATGTGAGGTGCTGAGAGCCAGTCTGTGTCTGTGTATCTGTGTCTGTGTGTCTGTGTCGTGTACTGTGGGTCTGCGCAGCCAATGTCGTCGGGTTGAATGGCCTTCCTGAAGTCAACAGTTTTGCTAAGGAGTTCTTACCTTTTAAAGAGTTAGCCCAGTGCCCCCAAACACACTTGTCCACACCCTGCAGATGGTGGGCAAGTGTGGCCTTGACCAGATTCTGGAAGGAAGGGGACGGGGTCTCCTTGAGAAGCCATTTGGATCTGTGGTACTGGGATCCCTTGTTGAAAAATTCCACTGGACTTGAACTTGGCAGCTGAACTTTTTAGAGAGTGGGCGAGTCCAGCCGTTACCATGGAGACAAGAAAGGCTGTCCATCCAGGAAATCAAGATGTCTTACTGCCCGGACTGGCCAGGGTCTCCACCCACATTGGATCCTGCACTGTCATGGAGCACACCTGCCCCCTGGTGGTCAGTCCTGGGAGGACTTCTAGGACTCTTTGCCATCACCCCAGCAGAGCAGGGAGGTGATGAATTAAAAGGAGACCCTTTCTGGATGTAGCCTCAGTTCCCGGCTTGTGTTGATCCCAAGACGATGAGAGTTTGCACTGTATACTAGGCAGCATTCCTGCTTGTAAATAAACCTTTCGTTTGTTTTACACATTGACCCCTGGCTCTGGCTTCAGGTCTGAGCTGGGGCTTGTCCGTGGTCCTGCTTGCCTACCACCGATGTATAGGGGGAGATGGGGTCATGGCCACTGGAGTCTGACAAGTCCATGTTCTGACTGGCCCCAGAAGCACCCCCATGACAACGGCCCTTTGCTGAAAACCTGCCTTCTCCATTAGGCCTGTGAACAGTAAGATGGCAGCTTCCTGTCCAGAAGCACCCAGCTGGCCTCCAGCTAGGCCCTCATCACATGCCCTGTCGGGTTGGTCTCCTTAGTCTGCTCTTGGGGTCAAGGTGGAGTCTCTGCATACCTGCTTTTTCACATAACAGCCCAGCACCCAGGGGAGCAAGACACTGGCCTCCAGGAGGCCCCAGTCTGGGCCTGTGAGACCCCTCACTGGGTGCTCAGACGAGCAGGGGCAGGAAGAGGCACAGAGGAGGGCCCCAGGCACAGTCAGGGGGTTGGGGAGGGCTCTGGAAGTGATCTCTGACCTGTTCCTGAGGCATAGCCGATTTCCAGAATAAAGGGTAGAGAGGAAGTTGCATGCAAGGGGAGTTCATGTAAAAGCCTAGAACGGAGAGAGACCCCTGGCCCTTGAATTCCCTCAGCCAGCCCCTGGGTCACTCACCCTCCTTCCAAGAGTCACTCACTACCCCAGCACAACGATTTTCATTGTTGGTGATTTCCTGTACTCTTCTCCCCATAGCCCTGCCCTCTAGCCCATCTCAGCCACTCACCTTTGACCAGGGCTCGGCAAACTTTTCCTGTAAAAAGCCACAGAATAAATACTTTAGGCTTGAGTGGGGGTGGGGGGAGAGTAGGGGGGGGTCTTACGGCTTCTGTCACAGCTACTCAACTCTGCTGCTGAAGCATGAAGGCAGCCACAATACATCACAAACAATACATCACAAACACATCCAAGAAGGGGGTGGGGTGTTTTCTACACCACCGAGCAACTCCCTAGCAGGCACCGACAAAGTGTGCTACACACTGAACTCGACTCTGACACTACCTGAAGATGGTGTCAGATCCCATAGGTTAGGGGCTCAGTCCCACAAGACTGCTCCCACTTCTGACACCAACCACAAGTCCAGGATGTCACCTGTGCCTTTGTCGCATCGGCTATACATCCGAGGTTCCATGAGCTCCTCCTGGCAATTGATGCATGCGTTAGAACTGCTCACAAAGCTCAGGGGAATGTTTACTTACATTATTGGTTTGTTATAAAGGATGTGATAAAGGATACAGACGAACAGCCAGCTGCAGAGGCACACAGGGCCAGGTCCGCAAGGGTCCTGAGTGCGGGAGCTTCTGTCCCCGGGGAATGGGGATGTACCACCCTGCTGGCTTGTGTCCCAGCCAGGAAGCTCATCAAATTTCAATTTGTTTGAGCTTTTATGGAGCCTTATCTGCAGCTCCCTCCTCTTCTCAGAGGTCCTCAGGTCGGGTGGAAAACTCCTGCCTTCTCATCACTTCATCTTTCTGGTGACCGGCCCCATTCTGAGTCACCTCATTAGCATAAACAGGCATGCTGCAAAGGGGCTCCTTGTGAATGACAGAAGACACTCTCATCACTCAGGCAATGCCAAGGTTTTTAGGAGCTCCGTGTCAAGAACTGGGGAGAAAGACCAGATATATTTCTTATTATACCACAGGTATGACGATGTATTCCCATAAAACTTTGTGCCAATGTGCAGCAGGTGGATTTGGCCTGTGGTCTGTAGTTTGCTGACCCCCTACTCTAGACATATCGTAACTGATAACCACATGCATAATCTCACTTTCAAGCTTTCCACTCTCCCTCACCCGACCACTATTTCTGTCTTTCTCCCTCACTAGGACCCCTCTGTCCCTTATCCTCTCCTGTCTTATCTGGTGTAAAGACCAAGGCCAATCATTTTACCCCTTGCATGCATCCTCAGTTCCCTGGTCTTCCTCCTGCTTTATTGTTCTCACTCTGGTTAAATCCAACTCTCTGTGCATGCCGCACCTATACCTGTGCTCCCGTGCACCTGTATGGGCCAGTCAACCGTGCTGGCTGGCCTCGCTTTAATTTCATGATCATGAAACACTAATCGGAGGATGGTCCTTGGTGCCACCCGGCAGTATGTCCCCATCCACCCTTGCTGCTATATTAGTTTCCTATTGCTGCAAATAGTGCCTTAAAACAACACAAATTTATTCTTTATTCTCATAGTTCTGGAGATCAGAAGTCTAAAATCAAGGTGTTGCCAGGGCCACTAGGCTCTAGAAGAGAGCCTGTTTCTGGAGGCCCTGGGGGGTAATCTATTTCCTTGCCTTCAGCTTCTGGAAGCATCTTCACTCCTTGACTTGTGGCCCTTTCCTCCATCTTTATAGCCAGCCGTGTAGTATCTTCCATAGCCAAATCTCCCTCTGCATCCCAATGAGGACATGTGTGATTACACGGGGCCCACCCAGGTAATGCAGCATAGTCTCCCCATCTCTAGACCCTGCCAGGTAGCATGATCAGAGATTTCAGGGACTAGAATGTGGGTGTCTTTGTGGGGGCCATTATCCAGCCTGCCAGCCCCACCATCTGCACACTCTGCCACACTCCCAGGTAGACTGTTTCACACCCTCTCTTTGCTCCTCCCGCCTCTGACCTCACCCCACCCTTACCTTCCACTGGTTACCTGGCGGCCTGTTTCATGGAGAAGATAAACACGAGAGAACCTCCTCAGGAGTCTCCCCCACATGTCCCCTCCTGCCTACCCCTGTGCCCAGGTCCTCAGCCCTCTCCCCTGTGACTATGGATAAACGCTCAGGCTGCTGGCTAGAGGCACCGTCCTCCCTGCACAGGAACATAGCGTCCCGCCACCTCATCTCAAGGACATTGCTCAGGCAGCTCTCCTCTCTCCCTGTTCGCATCAGCTTCCCCGTCTCCTGGATCTTTCCTGTCTGCACGCAAATGTACTAATGGTTTCCTCATTTAAAGAGCAGCATACCGGCCCGGCCGAGTGGCGCTTCAGTTAAGAGTTGGCTTGGGAGTGCGAGCTCTGAGCAGCAGGGCCCCGGTTTGGATCCCACACGAGGGCTAGTGATGCTGCGCCCTCTACAGCTAAGATGGTGAACAACAGCTCGACCTGGAGCTGGGCTGCAGTGAGTCGCCAGTGACAGCACAGGCTGCAGTGGAGCTGCAGTAGGCTCCCCTAAGCTACTGTGAGTGGCTGGCAGCCTGCGTGAACTGCCAAGAGCTGCCGCGAGCGGCCAGCCAGTGGCCGGCAACCAATCTGCCTCACCCGGGAAGAGCGCAATGATAATACCAACATGGGCCAGTGAAGCGACGTCCTCCACAACTAGACTGAAGAACAAAAGGACAGCAACTTGTCTGTTCCCCTTCCCCCAATTCCCCAGCTCTGTTCCCCTTCCCCGATTCCCCAATTAAATCTTAAAAAAAAAAGAAAAGCAACATACCACCACATACACATTAGAATGGCTACTATATAAAAAAAAAGTGTTGGTGAAGACGTGGAGAAATCAGAACCTTTGTGCACTGTTGATGGGAATATAAAATGGTGCAGCTGCTATGGAATATATTGGGTTGTCTGAAAAGTCATAATGTATTTTTTCTATGTTTTTGTTGCAAAAATGTGTCATGACTTTTCCGACAACCCAATAGTATGGCAGCTTCTTAAAAAATTAAACAGGGTCACCATATGATTCAGCAACTCCACTTCTGGGTATGTACCCCAAAGAACTGAAACCAGAGATGCAATCAGTGCTCACTGCAACATTATTCACAATAGCCAAAAAGTGGAAGCAAACCAAGTGTCCATTGATGGATGTAATGGATAGACAAGCAATGGTATATTCATGCAATGGAGCATTAGCCCTAAAAAATAAGGATGAATGATGCTACAATAAGGATGAATGATGAAGGCATTATCCTGAGTGAAAGAAGCCGATCACAAAAAGACAAATATTGTGTGATTTCACTTATATGAGGTACTGAGAGTCGTCAAATTCATAGCGACAGAAAGAAGAACGGTGGTTGCCAGGGGCTGGGGGCCGGGGGAGTGGAATGGGGAGTTAGTGTTTATCGGGTACAGCATTTTCAGTTTTGTAAGATGAAAGAGGGAGATGGATGATGGTGATGGTGGCACGACAATGTGACTGTACTTAAAGCCACTGAACTGTACCCTTAGGAATGGTGAAGACAGTAAATTTTACGTTATGTGTGTTTCACTGCAAGAACAACAAAACCCTCTTGACAACAACTCTCTCCCCAGTTACTGTCAGATTTCCCAGCTATCATTAACAGCAAAAGCCCTTAGAAAATATGGTCTATCAATATTTACTGTCTCCAATTTATCTTCTTTCCCTTTCTCTTGAGCTCACTCCAGTAAGGCTGCGTCCAACTCTCCGCTAAAATTCCTATTGTCCGGGTCGCCGCTGCCGGTCCTGCTTCTAAATTCAATGGTGGATCTCAGGCCTCCTTTCACTTCCTCCGTGGGCAGCACTGGGCCTGAGTGACCAGCCCCTCACCTGGCTCCGGGAGCCCACATTCCCCCGATCTCCTGCCATCTCAGAGGCTCCTGCCTCTTTCACTGGTTCGTCTCATCTCAGTCATTGATGCCTCTCTTCACCTCCTCCTCACTCCCTTGCTGGTCCCTTCCAGCTTCACGGCTTTAGGTACAACAAATGTATCCTGCATTTGAAGGGACAAGTATTTATGGTGCTTCCTTCACGTCGGGCATTGCTTTGGTGCTGAGATGCAGCAGCTACTGAAATAAAGTGGGTGGGAAGAGAAGCAGTGAGAAAACAGACAAACAGCTAAGAGCACACGGTGATGAAGAAGACGATGTGGTCATGGAGGATCAGGAGGTCCCGGGAGGGCCTGGAGGGATGATTGGAGCAAAGGTCTGCAGAACCGAGGGAGGGGCCCGGTTGCGCCTGGCCTTTGAACGCGGCCAGGTCCAAAGGGTTTCTGCTGTCCTGTTAAGGTCAGGGCTGGGAAAAGGGACTCACTGAA